AAACATCACTCATATCAGGAAACCTCGCCCAGAATAGGGAAACCGGGCACCTTCCTGGAGCCAAGCCTGGGGAGGGAGCTCACCGGTGAGCACTTGGTGGTCAAGCCTTGGCTCCTGGGACTCGGCCGGGCAAAGCCCAAAAGGACTACAGGAGGCCATCCCCACGTGGACCCACCACCCGTGGGGAGGACCATGAAGGTTGGGTGAGATGCATGCTGGACAGCAGGTGAAGGAGGGTCCCTGGTTGTGCCGATTCCTGGCGACAAAGACTGGCTYYAGGGACATGGAACATRACCTCATTCACAGGTAAGGAGTTGGAGCTTGTGGGTGAGGTTGAGCATTACCAGCTAGATCTAATTGGGCTCACCTCAACACAGCTTGGGCTCTGGAACCCAACTCCTGGAGAAGGGCTGGACTCTCTCCTACTCTAGAGTTGCCCAGAGAGAGAGGCAACAGGCAGGTGTGGGGATACTCACAATCCCCTGGCTGTGTGCCTCAGTGTTGGAGTTTACTCCGGTGGACGAGATGGTTGYCTCTATGCGGCTTTGTGCTGCAGAAGGGAAGGTTCTGACTGTTGTTTGTGCTTATGTACCAAACAGCAGTTCAAATTACCCGGCCTTTTTGGAGTCCTTGGATGGTGTCCTGGAAGGGGTGCCATCTGGAGACTGCCTCGTTCTGCTGGGTGACTTCAATGCCCACGTGGGCAATGACAATGTAATATGGAAGGGGGTGACTGGGAGGAGCAGYCTCCCTGATCTGAACCTGAATGGTGTTCTGTTATTGAACTTCTGTGCCAAGCATGGGTTGTCCACCATGTTTGAATATAGGGTGGTCCATAAGTGTACTTGGTACCAGGCCACCTTAGGCCAAAGGTCGATGATCGATTTTGTAATCATGTCGTCGGACCTGCGGCCTTATGTCTTGGACACTCGGTTGAAGAGAGGGGCAGAGCTGTCAAATGATCACCACCTAGTGGTGAGTTGGATCCAGTGGCGAGAGAGGCTGCCGGACAGACATGGTAAACCCAAACRTATAGTAAGGGTGAACTGGGAATGTTTGGCGGGGCTCCCTTTCCATGCAATCGTCAAATCCCACCTCCGGGAGAGTTTTTCACATGTCCCGCGGGAGGTCGGGGACATGGAACTCAAATGGGCCATGTTCAGGGCCTCTATTGCAAATGTGGCTTCCAGGAGCTGTGGCCTGAAGGTCATAGGTGCCTGTCGCAGCGGCAACCAAAAGACCTGTTGGTGGACACCAGCGGTGATGAAGGCTGTCAGGCTGAAGAAGGAGGCCTTCCAGATTTGGCTTTCTCGGAGGACTCCTGAAGCAGCTGGCAGGTACAAGGTGGCAAAGAGGGTTGCAGCTTCGGTGGTTGCAGATGCWAAAACTCGGGTGTGGGAGGAATTTGGGGCCATAGAGAAGGACTTTCAATTGGCCTCGAGGAGATTTTGGCAAACCGTTTGATGACTGAGAAAAGGAAAGCGTTCCCTGTCCCAGGCTGTACTTGGCTTGGGTGGGGAACTGTTGACCAGGACTGAGGATATTGTGGGGTCGTGGAAGGAACACTTTGAGGATCTCCTGAATCCACCCTTCATGTCCACCTTTGAGGAGGCAAGAGTCTGAAGACTCAGGGGAAGACGAGTCCATTACCATGGCAGAGGTCACCGAGGTAGTCAAAAAGCTCCTTGGTGGCAGGGTGCCAGGGATGGATGAGATTTGCCCAGAGATGCTGAAGGCTCTGGATGTTGTGAGGCTGTCATTGTTGMCACATCTTTTCAACATCACATGGAGGACCGGGACAACTTCTGTGGAGTGGCAGACCGGGGTGGTGGTTCCCATTTTTAAAAAGGGGAACCAGAGAGTGTGTTCTAACTATGGTGGGATCACACTTCTTGCCCTACTCGGRAAATTTTACTCCAGGGTGTTGGAAGGGAGGGTCCAATTGATTGTTGAACCTCAGATTCAGAAGGAGCAGTGTGGCTTTCTTCCCGGGCGTGGAACAGTGATCTTTACATTTGCAGAGTTGCTAAGGGGGTTATGGGAGTTTGCTTCTACTGTGTACATGTGTTTTGTAGGCTTGGAGAAGGCTTATGACCATGTTCCTCGAGGCATTCTGTGGGGCGTGGGGGGGGGGTGCTGCGGGAGTATGGGGTGTTTGGGTTGATAGTAAAAGCGATCCAGTCCCTACATAACCAAAGCAGGAGCTGTGTTCGCATTCTTGGCACAATGTCGAGCTTGTTCTCAGTGTGTGTTGACTCCGCCAGGGCTGTCCCTTGTCTCCAATCCTGTTTGTAGTGTTTATGGACAGSATCTCAAGGTGCAGTTGTGAAGAGGAGGGTGTCTGGTTTGGGAAACACAGGGTCTCATCTCTGCTGTATGAAGATGATGTGGTTCTGTTGGCATCTTCAAACTAAGAACTTCAGCGTGCACTGGGGCGGTTTGCAGCCGAGTGTGAAGCGGTTGAGATGAAGGTCAGTTCCTCTAAGTCTGAGGCCATGGTTCTCGGCCGGAAAAGGGTGGAATGCCCCCTCCGGGTCCGGGGAGAGTCTCTGCCTCAAGTGGAGGAGTTTAAGTATCTGGGTGTCTTGTTCACAAGTGATGATAGGATGGAGCGGGAGATGGATTGACGGATTGTGGCCTCATCCTCAGTAATGAGGGCGTTATTTCTGTTAGTCGTGGTGAAGAAAAAGCTGAGTCAAGGCAAAGGCAAAGCTCTTGATTTACTGGTCTGTCTTTGTTCCAACCCTCACCCATGGTCATGAGGYGTGGATCTTGACTGAAAGAACGAGATCCTGGATACAAGTGGCCGAAATGAGCTTCCTTCGTAGTGTGGCCGGGCCTAGCTTTAGCGATAGGGTGAGGAGCTTCGTCATCCGGGGGGAGCTCGGAGTAGAGCTGCTGCTCCTCCACATTGAAAGGAGTCATTTGAGGTGGTTTGGCCATCTGGTTAGGATGCCTCCTGGACATCTCACTTTAGAGGTGTTCCAGGCACGTCCCACTGGTAGGAGGCCCCAGGGAAGACCCAGGATTCGCTAAAGGGATTATGGTGCGTTCACACCGAACGCAATTTCAGCGTCAGGAGCAGCAGGTTTACATACAAAGTCTATGGTGGAC